TTGGCTTTGCCCCCCCGCAGCATCCCACCCGTCTGCACCCCCCACCCCCAGCTGCTAGTTCCAGTTCGGACTGTGTAAACTGGGAAAGCAACATCTCAAATACAGGCAAACCCAGCGTAAGGCTGCTCGGCTGTAACTCCTCAAGAAGCCACCAGAAGTGAAGAGCCCCTGGAGCATCCCTCAGAGCTCATGGGATGCCCTGGCACGTGGGGCTCTGCCGAGGTCACGGCGCCGGCCGGCAGACCTCGGCATGAGCCCTTGGGGGAGCCGGAGCCGTCTCACCCCTGGGCTGCCCTTTCCCAAGCTCCAGGAGGAAGCTTGGTTCCAGCCCTTTCTCCATGGCCAACGTCACCTTCCCCTGTCGTTAGAAATGGAGTTGTGCAACCAGTTGATTGGAAGAGCTGGCGTCCCAAACAGCCACAGTGTTGCACAATAACAACATTTGGCCGCTTCCTTCTTTCCTTCTAATTTTATTTTTTGTTGAAGCCCAAGAACACTGTCGCCTCAGCTGAAGGCACGGGTGCCTTCTCTGACTGAGAGGAAACCTTCCCTGCGATTCCCCACAGCTGGACCAAGGCTCCGCCACCGCAAACACCTCCCCGTGGTTGGGAAGCGGTGGCGGTGGGGAAGAGCTCTGCTCTCGGGGCAGACCCCCAGCGGAGGGGCCCATGGAGGAGCCCAATTTATTCCCCTGCCTGAGCTGCCCACAGGGAGAGGGCTCGGAGGACAACAAGAGTTGTTCTTAGGAGTTTCAATCCAGTTGAAGGGTCTTTAAAGTTTGTTCAACAGTGACAGAGTCCCTTTGAACTTGGTATCCCAGGGAGGGTGCCGTGAAAAACAAAAGCATGTTTACCAGAACATGGGATCTGAGATGGAAAACACTGCAGATACTGCAGGAAGTTTAAAAAAAAATTTAAAAAAAAGGAAAAAAAAAAAAAATCCACCTAGGATGACTTAAATCCCTCCCATTTCTGGCTGGGAGCGTTTTTTTGCAGGGCTGGTTCCCTCTCAGTTGGGGAGGTTTCCTTCTCATTTAGAAAGAGGAACCCAACGGGTAAGGAAGCGCCTGGCTGCCGGCGCCTGGCCGCCCCTGCCCTACTGTTTAGCAATCCCTGCGGGATGCTATTCCGTGACCAGCCCAACAACTGCCTGCCTGGCAGTCGAAATACTTAAAAACAAGTTCAGAGGAACGATAATTGAAAGGGGGTTCAGTACAAGGTCCAAGGGACTCCTGCGGCACAGCCATCGCTTGCAGAGATACACAACCATGGCTCCCCGGTTGGACTCGATGACCTTAAAGGTCTTTTCCAACCTAAATGATTCTAAGATTCCATGATTCCACTGACATGACCGCTCCTGCTGTATTCGCAGAATACTGTCATATGAGAGATTCACGCGGTACCTCGCTGAACTGTAGCTACTGTTCAGGAAAGCAAACTCACAGACGCCGTGGCTGTACGCGTCCTTTGCGGGAAGGGTTTATCTCCCTTGGTGGATTTGCAACGGGCGTGAGACTGATCACGGGCTCGAAAGAGCACAAGCAAACAGACACAACAGAAAAATCCCACGTCCAGTGCTGGGAACGAGGAGAAATTCTCTGTGAAGTCTCCGCTGCTCCCCTCGCCCCCCGTGACACATCTCATTCCACGTTTGAGGAAAGCGAGCATCAGGGAGGATTTCATGGGGATGTATTCCCTCCTTTTCCACACCAAAATCCGGCTGCATGTGGCAAGCCCCAGAGGCCAGCAGACGCTCCTGGTTACAAGCTGTTGTGCCGGACTGACAGCAGTTTCACCCATTGGAGCGAAAATGACTTCAGTTGTGTTTTCTTTAGAAAATGGAATTCAGTTTTACCCCCTTAATCATCATCTCCCTAACCTCCAGGGAAAAACAACCCAACCTCTTACAGCCAAGTCACCAAGCTCTGGTGGAGGGGAACTATGGGGGTCAATGAATCCTGGCTAAAAGAAATCAGGTTTTTGAAAGGTAGACTTTGAGATGTGAGCTGTGGCTGACCAAATTCAACATTTTTGTCATTCTGTGCTGGTTCGGTTTCTTCCTATACCTCTATTGCCATGGAGACGCTGGCGAGATCACCACGGTGTCGATGCCAGAGCCAGCAGGTTAGTACGAGAGAAAGATCTTTAGCAGCAAGTGAAGAATCAGGAAAATTCGTCAGGAGCAAGCAAGCAAGTTAAGGATTTAATTAAGATCAGTTAATTAATAAAAAAAATATTTCTCAGTGTGACATCTCCTCATTAAAACCAGTGTGAAAGGTTCACCAAGAGGCTACGGTGTAGTGATGGGTCTCCATCACTGATGAAAGTCATTTAAAGACGTGTCCAAACCAAGCAGCCCCCCACACCTTTCGGAGATTTGAACCTATTTCTGAGCTCTCTGTGGCGTGGACTTGAGTGCTGATTTACATGGGATTGAGGTGGCTGGGAGTTAAAATCCCTTTCCTTTGCCTCACAAGTAATTCCGCTGGTATACATTAGCACTGAGGGCCCCTGCGTTGAGCCCAGGCCCTGCAGGAACCCAGGCCCGAGACCGTTACAGCCAAAAAACAGCGAACCAAGTGATAGGTGACAGACTGAGGTTCTCTCTTGATGAAACAGGTCCAGCATAAACAGCGATTTCCCATCACTACCCTGCCAAAACGTCTCAGCCTTCAGCTGGAAGAGGATTCCAAAAATCGAGCTCAGCCTTTATGGTTCATGACCTTATTTATGCAAACGCCTCTCCGCAGGTGCTGGATCTGAGATGCTCCAATTCATTGCACGTAGGTCCCTGAACAGCCAGGCACTGGCCATAACTTTGGGTTCTTCTGCACTGTAGATGTACCCAAACCAGCTGCAACTCCCCACAGGTTAACTTAGCTCCAGGAGAGCTCAAGCCCAACACGTGTCAAGCGGCACCTGAGCTGGCTGGGGTACCTCTACGCTGCGCTGCCATGGAATAAGCAACCTGACAGCAAAGGTTTTCGGCGTGATGATTGTCTCACCTATCCCTCCTAACACTGCCTCAAAGCAAAGACGCGTGGTCGGCGAAGCAACAGCCAAGAGCTGCACGTAGACACTCGACAGAGTCACGGTCACTGTCACGCACACTTGAATGGAAGCTGCCACCTGCCATAATTTTTTTTTTTTTTTTTTTTTTTTGCTAAAGAACTTCTTAAAAGGACAAAGCAAGAGCTAGTACCATCGGTGTCCTTAATGCCTGGTCATCCAAAATAACTCTACACCAAGAGGAGAATCCAGTAGGAAGCATTAGGTCTTGGGAGGATCCCAGCTTCCAAACAGCTTAGTTTACAAAAATACCGAGGAGAAAAAAAAGTAGTTGAACAACCCATTTGCACAAAGCACGAGCACAAAGACGATCTCTGAGACTCAAGCAGCTCACTGGGGGGAAGAAGATGCTTTTGATTTCCAACTGACTACCTCCTCGAGCGCAGAGGCACCACGAGCAAACTGTTCAAGAACCGCAGTTTTGCTGAAAAGGCAATGCTTTTGACCAAATAAAGCCACATGTTCCTAAGAGGACAGTTTTGATTCCTCGGGAACTAGAGGAATTTTGGGTGGGCTCAGGGGATGGGATGGCACCACCCACAACAGCAAGACAAGGTTTCACATGAGGATCGTGGGTGCTGCCCTAAGACCACTCCCTAAACAGGAGGATGGTGATGGGGGCATCTCACCAAGCCAAACCTGACGCTGCAGTTTTGCAGGAGGGAGGAACAGGCCCACGGTCCCTGTTTCTTAGCGCAAAACAGAACATCTACAGCAGACTGAGATTAAAGCCAGGCTCCAGCCACCCAGGGACATCTGCCCCTTTCTACACCCCCAGACCCGGTTGGTCCCATCTCCACTGCACCTTCTAGAAGAGACACAGCCTAACGAAGGGAGCGGTGACAGGCAACGCACAGAAAGACCCCAGGGAATGAGCCAAGGGAATCCCACCCCTATTTTCTCTTTGCAAATGGTTTATGGGTGAACACGAATCGCACCGAGGGCAACAAATGGGCCACTTGGAGAGCGTGATGTTGCTCATCCCATACTGGATGGTAGCTTATCTACAGAAAAACATGGGAGTGAGCAAGCCTCTTGGCTTTCTGCTAATTGCAATTCCCTGGGTTTATCAGGAGGAACTCCCCCCTCAGGCCTGCACCCGCCCCAGGGATAATTCGCAGGGCCATGGGATGGCCATTCTGGTGAAGAGCATCCCGGGGGGCTGGCTCGGTAGCAGGGAGATGGCTTGGATCTGAGAGTTAAAAGCCAGGCACTGGCAGGGGACCCCGAGTGCTCCAGTCAGGAACGCAGGGAATGTCAGGCGAGACCTCCCCACACCATTTCTCTGGCACAGGTCCTGCTCTGCCTTGTCTCACCTAAGCCACTGCCAGCGGACAGAGTCCAAAGCGTCCAGCAGCTCGCATTTTGGGATGCGTTCCGTGTGTGTGTGTGCGAGAGTGCGAGCCAACATCAGCCAACCTTTGCTTCCCAACCTCCCGCCCTTGGCCAGGTAAGGCCAGGCTCAGGACCACCCCGCGGCTCTGCGACAGTCCCAGCCCCAGGCACCTCAGCACAGCTGGCAACGCTCAAACTGGGCTTGTGAGCGGATCCGCCCTCGGCTGGGGGACCCCAGACCCAAACCAAGTCAGCCTACACAGAACTGAAGCGCAGCCCTCAGCACCACACACACACACACAGAGCGCGGCCGATGGGAGCCGCTGGCGCCCGCCCCGCCGGGGCCCCCCCGGGGC